TTTGTCATATTGTTAATTTTTTAAGAATTAAAGTACATAAAGACAATTAGTAAAGCATTTGTGGCTTCATCAGTGTTTTAAACTATTCAAAGTGTTACTGAGGTAAGACATCAAACAAAACTAATAAAACTTTTTCATCTGCCCTTAGTATGTCCAGAAGGATTTAATTACTGGTTGGTTTTGAGTTAGACAAATTTTGTTGTCTTGAGCTTTTAAAGCTACTTAAAATATATTTTAAGAGCAGAACTGTATGTGAATGATGTTTTTCTTGATATTCTTAGCAGACAAAACTACTTAATAGAAACTGAAAAACGTGAAAGAAAATGGTATACAACTGCCATTGAGGAGTGTAACTAAAATATGATCATCCCTTTTTCAAATGGGTGGCCAAGATTTCTCTAAGACAAGGTAATTGTTGTAATGCTCATCAGTTTATAGCTCATCAGCTAGATCCAAGATGAACACAGCACCATATCAAGCATGGGGGCAGTCTAACCTATATCTGAAAAAAAAAAAAAAACATGCCTTAATGGTTTTGTCAGAGCGTATTGACAAAATTATGGAACCTATCCCAAAGGGCTATGTAGAAATATGGGTTTTTTAATTTTTTATTTTTTACTAAATAGTGCCGATTCAATAGAAAAAGTTAATAAGTGTATATACTTTTTCATTAGACCAATTATGACTAAACTGCATTAATGTTAGTAAAATATTTCACCAGGCACAAGCTGGTAAGAAAGATGAGATTTAAAAGTAGTGTCTGCCTATTTTTAATCTATAAACTGTCTTAAAAATTGTTGAATGTGATGAAGAAGGGTTTGTATAATTCTTAGAGACCCCAGAAATAGCTCTTGAATTCAATCCAAACTTACATTAGGGGTTTAATGTTGCCTTTTTGTGCCTTGCATAAGCCCCTCTAGCTATGTGATCTAATGTGGGTCACCTGAGTGACCACATTGTAAAATGAGATTTGTAACATTTACCCCTTGATTGTGATTGTTAGGATTAAATGATTTAGTGCACAGGACCTAAGATAGTATCCAGCATGTTGCAAATGATCAATAATCCCCTTCTTTTAATTGATATCACAAGGAAACCATTTTCTGCCTTTTCTTTGGGAATGAAAATCTAAATGACTTAAGTCTCTTCTTGATGCTCTGAGGTTAAAAAACCAAAACAATACTTTGTAGCAGTTTGCAGTTATAGTCTCAGAATATTTTTAGTCATTCAGTCACCAGAAGACATGGACCACTTAGCTCTAAACAAGGTAAATAATGTCTGTTTGAAGAAGAGTCTAACTAGTAGATTTGATGATAATACAGATATTTGAGTTCATGTTTTTAAGGGATTTACAGTGATTTACTTTTCTCCTATAATGTATCAAGTGCCTGAAATTATCACTCAATTATTTTTGCAAATGCATGTCTTAAATGTTTATGTAGGTTTTTCTTTAAACAGGCTTCATAGTTGTTTGAATTAACCTGAAAGTTTGCTCATTGTATTCTGCTTAGTGCCAGAAATTAAATCAGAAAAATGCCAAAGATATTAATGTTTTAACTTTTAAAATCTTGAGTACTACCTTTTATCCTTGTTGCTCAATCTTCTTGGTAAAAGCATCTTACCTTGATACACATAGAAGCCAATCAGAGGATCTGACTGAGTTTTGCTAGTTCTTTGGTGTGTTTTCTGCTCTTGTTTAGTAAAATGAATGTGGCAGCCTCCATGAACAGTGTTTTCTAAAACCAAACCAGATTCTGTTCAACACAGTAAAAATTTCAGCTAAAATGGAATATTAAGGGGAAAAGGAATATGTTGCTTCAGGCTACAAACATCTCAGAACAATCTAAGGCATGCACTGGTAAATCTTACAAAATGCTATAGGCAATTCAGCATTAAAATTGCCATAGAAAATTATTGTTGTTAGCCATTCTGTTGATAGTTCATATTGATAGAATTGCTAGCAGATGGGAAAATAGATGAGTCAGGATACAGTATTAGCAATCCATATTTTTTTAATCACAGGCTACTAATAAGGTTTGTAGCATCTGTGAGATTTATTTAAACAGTTGCTAGGAAAGTTTGTTTTCTCAGTAAACACAGAAAAACTTGTACAGGATTTTCTTCATTGACTCTTTAACTGTATGTACATGTGTTTGACTTAAATTAACATATAAGACCATTTACTTCATTGTGGTGTTGTCTTATTTATTTTAACATACTGATTATTCCAGCAATTTATAAATCCATTAAGCCTTGAAATGTTATCACATTATACATTTAAAAGTTTATAATACTTTATGTTGTTTTTTGAGATTTACCTAAAGAATCTCTAACATAAATTAGGACTGTTTTTGACAAAACAGAAAATAATATAAAAATCTAAAGGTCTTCCTCTAGACAAATAAAAAATATTTTAGAAAGTAATTCCATCTTATCACTTGACTGTGGTATTTTAAATTTTTAGAGTAGATTAGATGTGTAAACTTAAAAGAATTTCTAATTTTACTGACAGATCCTGATGAATTATAAGCAGTGTTTCACTATTCAAAGTTCAGAAATAATCCTAATATTATCAGTGAGTTGATTTAATCTGATTGAATCTTAATCTTCTCCCATTACTTAGTTATTTGAACTGCTATTTTATGTAAGAACTAGAAAATGAGTTACTAGTTTGCATCTTTTACTTGGGTTTTCTTTTCTTTCTTTCTTTCTTTTTTTTTTTGGGTAGAGATACTGAGAAACGTAATAATATGGACATCGATCTGTCATTTTACCTCTTATATGAAACATGATAATCCAGGATTTCCTTAACAAATGAGTTCCCTGTACTAAACTACCAGTTTCCAAACAGAATGTTTATTTCTATTGAAAAAACTTTGACTTTTTCATTGAATTTATGAACAAGCATCTGTTTATTCAAATCTCATTATTATTGAAAAGAGGTTTGGGGCTTTCCTTTAAAATTTTTAATTTGTTTTTAAAAACAAAAAGAGCTAGGAGATCCTAGTTTACCTGCTGACATTCTGCCTTTTGCTGAGTTTTTGCTTTTTATTCCATTGCAGAATACTGTTCCACAAAAATGTTGTACACAGATTTTCAATTCACTGTGGCCTTCATATCTGAATACTTAAAAAACATTTTCATTTTTAGCTCAGGTTGAAGACCCTGGGAATTTCTCAGCACTGTACCCCATTTGTGGTGATTTCACATTTTCAACTCTGGATAGTGCTAATATGAGATTAAGAATATCACACTTAGTTACTGAAGATTTCTATTTAAATAGAGTGTGCTACTTGGAAACATGGCCACACTTCCAGTGAAATGTCATATTAAACAATTAGTTAATTTGAACTTGTAGAATGAAAAAGTATGTTTGTCCTCTAATAGAAAGTAGTTAACATGTTTCACTGTCTTTTGCCTTCTTTCTTCTCCTTCCTATTTAAAACTGCCTACGAAAATCTGTTAGATTTTCATGAAAGAAGAACATTTTAGCTTATTGAGGTTGAGACCTAATGGGTCAAAAATGGATAGAGGCTTTTGTGAGTCTTCTCCTCCCCAAATGATACAAATCAAACTGGATTATAGTCTTGTTTGGTTTTGAACCTGAGCTGGCTGCATCCCTTTACAATACTTTCTGCTGTCTCATAGATTTGGTTTCTTTTCTTGTTGGGGGGGAGGGAGTTGGTTACTGGGAATTGAATTGTCAAGCAGATAACTTAGTCATTAAAAAAATGACTTTTTACAGTGTCATACCAAATTTTTTTTCAGGCCCATACAGTTTATCTAATCTCAGTTTAAACCCTTTTATGGAAATTGATTTTAATTTCTTATTAATACTTCTTGCCCCTAATATTTATTATCTCAAATTTCCAGGAAGAGCAAAATTGCGAATAGATTTAAAAAAAAAAAAAACTTCAGGTAATGAGCCAATATTATTCTGAAACATCATTTCTTCAATATTTGTTTTTGAAAAAGCTGTACTTCCACTGCCTTTGCATCAAATTCCTCTCCCTGCACATCATTTAGTTTGTTCACTAATCAAACATGTGACTGTAATGTTGTAAAGATGGTCAGACTACAGTATTCTCTCGCACTGTGAATGCTTGCATATTTGAGAACCAGTTTGTTGTATATGTTCTATTTCATCATTAAATTCAAAATTAAATTGTATTAAACAGAATTAGCTTAAAACATTTATAAAAGCCATTTCCAGATGAGTTATTCATTTTTTACATTTGTTCACAATGTATATATTGTTTAAAATTCTTTTATTTACTAACTTGACTTTCCAGATTTTAAATTCCAGCAAACATAGATCAAAGACTTGTTATTGCAACTCTAGTTCACATCTGAATTTATTTTGGAATTAATATAATGTTATAAAGTGAGGGTAATAAGCTATACTGTGTTTTATATATCCTCAAAAAATGGCTCATATATAACATTTCTTTACTATATTGAAAAATATAAATTCAAATTGATTTACCATAACTTTGTTAATTCATAAATACAATAATTCTAAAGTGATTTCCTTCCTTTTCAGAAAGATTTTCAGGAAATCTGATTGTGATTAAGGAAACTTTGGTCAAAATAATATTGATATTAATTCAGGAAGCTCATCTTTTTCTTCTAATGCTATTTTATCTAATCTGTGAATCTTTTTACTTCTAAGGCATTGAGCAATGCTATTTTCCAAGACACTGAAAACGTCACTTCTGCCATGTTTCTCTCCCAAAACATGTTCATGCCTGTGGGAGACTTAATAGCTATAGAAACCAAGTGCCAAATATATATCAGTAGGGCTTAATCAGAAATCACACCCAGCCAGAGATTTATATCTATAAATGATACCCAATATATAAAAAAAATTTTAAATTCTCTTAACTTCTTTTTCCTTTATCTTTTTTCTATATCTGACATCTAAATTAGTCATATTTCTGCCACTATGACAAAATCTCTAAGAAAAGCAACTTCAAAGAGGAAAAATTTATTTGGCTCACAGTTTCAGAAATTTCAGTCCATGGTCACCTGGCTCAGTCGCTGTGGAACTGTGATGAAGCAAAGTATCTTGGCAGAAGATATTCTGAAGCAGAGCTTTTCACCCCATGGCATCTGAGAAGCATAGAGAGAGAAGGAAGAAAAGACAGGGACAAGATAGTCCCCAAGGGCATAACTCCAAGGACCCACTCCCTCCAAGTAGTTTCTGCCTTCTATAGTTTCCACACCCTCCCAATATTTGATTCAGATGTGAATCCCTTAATACATCAGTACATTGATGAGGTCAGAGCCCTCGTGATTCAATCACTTCTCAAAATCCCCACTTCTGAACATTGCTTCATTGGAGAATTAAGCCTTCAATACATGAAACTTTGGAAGACTTTCCAGGTCCATACCATAACATGATAATCTAGAGTCATTTAGAAACCTACTAATATTGTTCTATTAAAATGAGAAGAGCCCCTGACTACAAAGGGATTGGGGATTATTTTCTATTGGACACTATAGACAGATTTTAAGCTCAGGAAGAAAACCTCCTTTCCCTGGATATTCTCCTCAACCATGATTTCAGTGGTAGCCTAAATGCTAATGATTCCCTTGGATTGTATCTTTAGCTTGAATCTTTCTCTTGGTTTCTTCCTACACCACCAAAATTGCAATCTATATATGATATCTCCAACTTGATATGTTGCTTATACCTCATACTTACCAGGACTAAAATCAGTTTTTTTAACAATATGCCTTATTGATAGTATCAATCTCTACCTCATTACCCATTCCAGATTTAGACCTGGAGTCCCCCAAAAGCTCATGTGTTGGCATGATCCCCAATGGTAGTACTATTGGGAGGTGATGGAAGCTTTAGGAAAGGAGAATCAAAGGAGTAATGCCTTTGAAGGGTTTATTTTCTCTCTCTTCTTTCTTCTCTCTCTGTATCTGTCTGTCTCCCTCTCCCCCTCCCCCTCTTCCCTCTTCCCCCCATGATGTTCTGCCTCACCTCAAGCCCCACAGGTTGGGACCAAGTAGCTGTGGACTAAAACCTCTGAAACCGTGAGCCAAAATAAGTGTTTCCACCTTTTAAATTGTTTTCTCAGATATTTTGCCTCATCTACCAAAAAGCTGATTAACATAGGAAATTGGTTTTGAGAAGTAAAGTTGTTGCTTTGATTGTACCCAACCATGTGGTTCAGAAGCCTTTGGAATTGGTTTGTGGGAGGAGTTTGGAAGGGTTTGGAAATGCAGTCTAGAAAAGCCTAGAATGTTGTAAGTGGAGCTTAATGGGTAATTATGGTGTGAGCTTGGAAGACCAGAATGCTGATAGGAATGTAGACAATGAAGATTGTGCTCATGAGATTTTAGAAGAGAATGAGGACTCTATTTGGAATTGGAGTAGAGGATTCATGTTATATACTGTCAAAGTGTTTGTCTATATTTTGCCCATGCCCTGAAACTTTGAGTGGGACTGAGATTAATGGTGATGGACTTGTTTATCTGGAAAAGGAGATTTCAAGGTTGCTTTCAGATTTGCAGTAAGAATCTGGAACAAAAAGCAGTGTGACCAGAAAAATAAGCCCATGTAAAGTTGGGGCCAGGGAAGGTGTGGTTGCTGAAGAGATTAACACAATTAAAAAGAAGCCAAGTGCTTTGCACTGGGAAAATAGAATAAGATGCCTTGAGGGCACCTCAGGAATTGACCTAGACCCCCCACTTCACAGGGTCAAGGACATAAAGGTATAAACTTGTTCGAAAGACTTTATTGGTGGAGTTGGAGGAGGTTGCTGCTCACACAAGTTTGTCTAGGGAATTGGTCCCCTGGAATTCACTCCCCTGTGCTCATATGTCCAGGTACTCAGAGGCTGCTTGCAGTTGTGGTTTAGGTAGACTCAGGTACTGCTCAAATCAGTGGCAGACCTTGACCTTGTCCACATGATGCTGATTTTATAGACAAGAATTAAAGGATCACCAAACTTGAAGCCACAATCACTCCTTAATTCTTCCTTTCTCTGGACCCTTCATAATCACTCAGTAAGCAATGAAAGCCCTACCCATTCTACTTTCACATTCTCATATCCCTCTTTCCTTTTCAGTGTTCACTTCTATTTTCCTGGTTGAAACATCTTCTTACTAAACTCTTAACAGTAACCTGCTGATGGGCTTTCCTACATCCATCCGCCGACAATCCATTTTCCATATCTACTATTGGAAATATTTTTCTGAAGTTCATATTTGATCATGTCACATCTAGCATTTCTTTCTCATCACATAAAGTTTGTAGCAGTACAATTAAGATCTTTAGTGATCTGGCCTTGCCCATTCTTTCCTGCTACAGGCTTCTATTCCTCCTTCCCACATAGATCTTCTTGAGTCTCAGCAGCCTGTTAGACATGCCCTAAGATGCCACACATTCCTGTCCCTAGTATGTTTCTGCTCATCTGTTTGTTTTTCCCCATACCCATCCTTTTTCTGATTTTCTACCCTCCAGTGAGTTATCTATGCACGGACTTGTCTTGCCAGCCAGATTGCAGGCTCATTATTCGAAGACTGTTTTATTCATCTCTATGTCTACAGTACTTAATCCATAGGAAATATCCATAAATATATTGAGTCCGCTGAAGTTCCCCACCAACCCACCTGTAGACAGCTAAATATGTACCTTATACAAAATCAGATTTCCTGTAACCTCAACCTTACACAGCGAAAAATCTGAAATCATATTTTTAAAAATATGCAAGCACTAGAAATAGGTATAAAAGCTTCTGCACTAGAGACATACTCTGATTTTCATACCACCCTGGGCTTTTATTCACAATCTATTCTTATTTAGTTTAATGCTTTATAAGATTGTTTAATCGCTGTTCTAGTTACCAGTATATGAACAAACCAAACCCAGTGTAGAAATACAAGAGTATATGTCCTGTGATGGCCAAGAGGATGGGCTGACAGTTTTCATCAGATGAAGATAAAAATCGAAAAAAGAGAAAACTAATTTTGGCACAGATTAGTAATATGTATTACTAATAATGACTCACCATAAATAAAGGTTGCTTTAGTTCCTCTGCCCTCCTCTTTAGAAGGCAGTATATTTTGTAAAATACTTCAATAAGATATTCTGTTCAAGATGATTGACACAAAGTTTTATCATATTAAAAAACTAAAGTTTAGGTACTTTATTAATTTACCTTATATAGGACATCTGATTATTTAATGGTGTCAGATAGTGGTTCTTCACTATCACAGAGCTGTTTTTCACAAATTTTGCATATTGAAAATATAAAAATCGGGGCTGGGATTGTGGCTCAACGATAGAGCGCTCACCTAGCACATTTGAGGCACTGGGTTTGATCCTCAGCATCACATAAAAATAAAAAATAAAATAAAGATATTGTATCCAACTACAACTAAAAAATAAATATTTTTTAAAGAAAATATAAAAATCTGTTGGAGGAGGAGAATTTTTCTTCTGAGCAGTTTCTTTCCTGAATTCAATCCATTACTGTAATATAATATTTATAAACTACTGGCAGTTTGCCCCCAGTAAAGCTAGTACAAGATATTCACAGGTGTATCTTAGTGCAAAAAAAATTAAAATAACAATTGTTTGCTTTGTATGATGTTATTTCTGCTAGCATTAGAGTAACCCATTTGTTTGTTCTTATTCCTTCTTATCTACCCATCTTCATGTCATGATGTTTAGCAGTATAGTTGGATAATTTCTAGAAATATGTACAATCTCTACATGATTCTAGATCCAAATGTTAAATTGTGGTGTTTATGAGTGTGATACAGAAATTCATAGATGAGAAAGACTAATGTGGACTAAAATAGAAATGATATCTTGAAGAACACTGACGTAGAATTGGATCCTTCGTAGACACAGCTGGGCATATCTGTCTCAGGGAAATGTGGCCAGGTGTCTGTTGGCCCTTCAAATCAATGTCACCTGTTGAGAAAGTTTCAAGGTTCCCTGTTGGCTTGTTTATCCCCACAATAATTTGAACAGAACTGAGCATAAAACTAATGAATGACTAATACATGAATTAAAATTAATTAATAAAATATAAGCTATAAATTCTATGTGTATATTATACCATAACATAAAAAGCTAGGTTGATTTTGTGACATGACTAAAGAATAACAGAATTTATTTTGCATGTACCAGAGCTTCTACCCCAAAGTGAGTGGTGTTCATCTTCCCATTCCATTATGGGAACCTGTACACTCTTCTCCGTAACACTGCTATTTCTCAAAATATCTTTGGAATTCTTCCTCTGAATTTCCTTCAGAGGCTGACTCATTCTTTTCAGTATCCTCAGAATCTTTTTCAGCTAAGAGTAGATTTGAATTTAGGAAGGAGAAGTCACATAGGGCCAGGTATGGTGAGTAAAGCAGAGAATTGGCTGAGAAATGCTATTTTTGGTAGCTATAAGTAATGAGAGTGTTTTCTAGTTTGACTCATAAAATAACTAAAACAAAAGGTAAGTTGGAAGTTTATCATTTTAAAGTCTAGTCTGATTGCTCTTATAATTTTCTGGCCCCAGAATTGGTCATTGTTCCCCAGAATCCTGACCTGTTTTATCTGACTCTCACAACCCCATGAAACCTGCCTATTTTTCTTTCCACATTCCCACTACAGATTCATCTTCTGATCCTCTTGTTCTCTGGCAAAGCCTCCTCCTCAGGGCCCTGTGCACTACTCAGAGGTACCTTCCCTTTCAAGAACTAGTCCAGTTCCTACTCCTGGAAGGGAATCTTTTCACTCCCTAAGTTCCACTGAATTTATAGTGAGGCTCCTTTCTTTTTGAGGAAAGGCCTACTCAAAAAACTGGTTGCTATCCCCAGAAAAATACACACATGTTGAAGAATTTTGCCCCTGAGAAGCTTGTTCATAAACTTCTCACTATCATTTCCACCATGCACATTTGGGGCTTTGATGTTTGGGGTCTTGGAATCAGTCTTTACCCTTCCAACTAACCTCCAAGTTTCTTATTGGTAAGGAAATAGTACTTCTTTTCTTTCCTTACTGTATCCACAAAAATACTGAGTATGTAATGATTGCATTCTGAAAATTTGGGGGGGGGGGTTAAAAGGTTTTTATGTTGTTGTTTTTTTAATCTACCTGTCTGCTACCATTGCTATCACATTTGGTTTTTATAAGAGACAGAGTTTTAAATTTTTTTTTTGTTTATAAGATAAAAGCTCAGTGTGTTAGGTTACATATCACAGGGCATCCTTTAAGCCCCAGATGATATCCCTAAAATGTGTTTCTCAGGAGATAATCCATATCTTCCTGTTTTGACATATAAATAAATACTGTAAAGCTCAGATGCCATAGATCCTGTTATATAGCAGAGCAGATTTTATCCCCTTTACACATGACACGAGGACTCTCTCCTGCTGTTACACAGGAAACCAGTAAAGTATATGCTGTTGTCATCTCCTGAAGCCAACATAATCAAACTGTAATGTATACAGTGAAAATTCAACAGGCCAAACCCACATCAGAACTTACACAGTTTATATCAGGTTTGGGATATTTTGAATCATGAATTTAAAACTTTATTTTATCAGAATACTTAGGGTAAAACTCTTCTGGATAATGTAATTTTCTGTTTAACTGAGTTCTTAAAATTTAAGCATTTAGTAAAATGGATGGTAAACCTGTTAATTTAATGTTCATTTGATCCTGACCCAGATCTTGGATGATCTCTGATAAGTATTTGTGATTATTATAGCACTAGATGGCCGCAAAGATATGAGATTGTAGTGACTATCCTAGAAACATATCCTGAACATCTGCTGCTTGTTGAAAGCAATGGATTTGTCTTTGTAGTTTTTTAAATATTTTTATTAGTTGTTGATGGACCTTTATTTTATTTATTTATATTCAGTGCTGAGAATCGAACCCACTGCCTCACACATGCTAGGCAAGTGCTTGCTCCACCACTGAGCCACAACCCTAGCCCTTTTGTACTTTTTTTTAACAGATATTTTCATCAGCTTGTTTTTCCTCATTTTCCCTTTCCTAAAAGCAGAGTTTTTGATTGTTTTGTTGCAAATTACTTGAGATCTTGCAGGGTGTGCCTTCTGGGTTCTTCAGGGAAGAAATTCCTGTTTTAATTGTTAAACCACACTTCAAAGGTGATGTAAAGAATCTGCTGAATTATTTATGTATGCTAAGACTCATTACACTTTAATGTTTCATGAATAATTTTACTATGTTAATATTTGGGACTTTTTTATTATATCTAGTTAAAAAATCTAAGTTTAGAAGAACTGCAGATGCGGTTAAAAGCACTGGACCCCATGATGGAACGAGAAATAGAAGAACTTCGTCAAAGATACACTGCAAAAAGACAGCCTATTCTGGATGCAATGGATGCGAAGAAAAGAAGGCAGCAAAACTTTTGAGTCTAATTTCTCTGTTTTATAGCTACTCTACAGACCAAGAAACCACTAAGAATTAAAAGGTTTTTTTTTAATCCCTAAGATTTATGCTCTACAGCTAGGCAAAGATCAAAAACTAATGATGGCACATACCTATGAAAGTTCCCAAAAGACACAATTTACAATTGTTTCCACTGTGTTTTCATTTTTAAACTATGAGAACAATAGAAATGTGTTCTTCTCTCTCTCTGTCAGCTGAATACCAGCAATAAGACTGTTATGAAATGAAGGCTGTATTTAGAGACCTTGAAGATCCAAAGCTATTGTTTAATTGTATAGCAATGAAGGGCTTTATGTTATAATATTCTTTACTCTTATCTAGAAGCCTATTTATTATTGTATCTTCTTAGGTAGACTTATTTATTTATGCTATTTCACTTGGTTTTGTTTTTAAAAGACAGGACAGGATAGTTTTATGAAGGTTAACAGTGATAATGTACAACCAAATTATATTTTAAGCAGGGAGCTAGGAGTACATACCTTGATTTCCAGGATAGTTTTCCAATAAAAGCAAAGTGTAATAGCAGTAGTACCCAAATGGGCTAGGCTTTTTTATATTGAAGCAATAAATTTTTACTTTTCAAAATTTTGATTTTTTGATTTTTGATATTTGGTACAAGTAGAAATATATATATATATATATATATATATATATATATATTGTCAAACAGACCAATAATGTTTAAAACCAAAGAAATGAATGAAATTTGCACAAAAGAAAGTATGGTAAATATTTTTAAAGAAATGAAACCTTAAGACGAATGTAATTTGTTAATATTGTTTCATGTTTCTTGTATAGGTCTCTTAGCTAAACTGAATCAAACTGTAATAAGCTCATCAACCTTATTTCTGTGAAAATGTGCTCTGTATAGTCACAGGGCTTTTTGTTGATTTCATTTATTTCCTGGAATTGGTAAACATCATGTGCCTGATGATAACAAAATAGCAAAAACATTTGTACTAAACTGTGCAAGCCTTGGGGCCTGGGGGGGGCGGGGATGGTTAAAAGCATTAAAAAGAAACTCATTTCTAAGCTGAATGAACATTTGTATAATTGAACTGGGACCAGTTGTTTCCTAAGCTACATATGGCCATCTTGACAGTGTTTGTTCTTTTCTGTCTTTAATTATTATGTGTAAGTCATAAAGAAAAATAAATTTTACTATGTCACCCAGAACATTTCATCTCTATATCTTTTTTAAAACTCACGACCTAGACTTTTTTTTCCAAGCAAGGAAACTACAATAGACAGGAAAGGCTAGATTATGAAAGGATAACAAACCTAAAACTTTAGTGGCTTAACTTGACAAGGTTATTCCTTAGTTGAGCCCCAGGCCCATCCCATATTGGCAGAGGACCCTGCTTTACTCATCCACTCCCAAGGACATGCTGATACAACATTTGTGGTCACCATAATTGGGAGAGAGACCTAGCAAGTCTCGCTCACTCTAGCAGCAGTGATGTGTCAAGTAATCCATAACTCAGTATTCAGAATTAGTCACATGGCCACTCCTAACTATATAGGTCAAACAGACCAATAATGTTTAAAACCAAAGAAATGAATGAAACTCTTGCACAAAAAGAAGCAAGTAAGTACAACCTTACCATGTGGCTAGAATTTGCCAATGTCTGCCGCAGAAGGTACATCATCTCTGGATAGCTTCCATTCCTTTGTTTGTTTGTTTGTTTTATATATACATATATTTAGTTGTAGATGGACCCAATACCTTTATTTTATTTATTTATTTATTTGTTTGTTTGTTTGTTTATTTATTTTTAATGTGGTGCTGGGGATCAAACCTTGTTAGGATCGTCAGATGAGCTGATCAACTCAACTCAGCCCTATTTCCCCCATCACCACCACCAACCTAACACCTAGCCTGGTATGACACAATCAAATGACTTATTTGCTATCATCCAAGCCAAACCCCCTACATCAAATGGAGATGTGTTCTCTAATTTAGTTTGCCTAAATTAGAAAATCTGTACAAATTATTTCATGAGGCCTGTTTGTTAGCCCTAATTCATTATGAACAAGAGTTCTCCTTTTAATAATGTCATGTTCCAATCACAATGTAATTTTTATGTGAATAGAATTTATACCCTGTTACATCTATATCTATTTAAATATATATACATGAACACACATATTTAAGAGAATTAAGAACAATAGATGATGTTTTCTTTTAAAGCTGTAGGAAACTCCAAAACATTTTAGGATAACTATCTTGAAACTTTTCCTATCTTCTCACTTCCACCCTTAACAAAAAACAAAACAAAATTTAAAAACAGGTTTTTAAGAACTATACTTGAAAGTAATCTTCAAGTCTAGTTAAGCTTTGATTAATCATGATACTTAGGAAAGCATATTTCTAATTATTTTAACGTGTTTAAAAAGAAACCTCTTATTTTGACCTTGGTTGCTGAGAACTTTCCAAAAATAGGTAAGCGTACTTTCTGCATGCCCCCACTCTTTAATAAATACAGTATGTGAATATAAGCGAAGCTCATGAGTCAAGGTTTACTCGCACTGCAAAGCCAGCATTGTTGTATATATTGTCCTGTAGATGAGAAAGTTTTTTCTTTGACTTTATGAACTTAGATGACTCATTTCTCCAGACTTACAATACATTGACATAGCTTATTTTTAGCATAGTTTTATGTTCAAATTATGAGCTACTTTGGCCTAAATAAGAAGAAAAATATATTTATTTAAATGGATTTCAAAATAATAATAACAGCACTTTGGGGGTACTTACTATGTGTCAGACAATCTTACCTACATTACTTACCTGCTTTTATATTTCTTCTGCTTATTTACTGAAGCACAGCCCCCAAGTCACGCTCTACTCACTGATGGGTATGTAGCTTCTCTTCTCTAACGGAAATTATATAATACGTTAATAAGATGTTTTTAACTTAGTCACAGGAAATCTTTTCAAATTTTTGATACATTCACATTCAGTAGGAATGCTATTTTTGTTTCCTATTCTATATGATAAAGATTAATGATTAAAATAAATACTGATATTCTAAATAGAACATTAAAAAAATAATTGGAGTTACATTGCTTTACCTAACCATTATTAGGCACAGACATTTAATTAGATATTTCATCAAAATGATATTTTGGAGTACACGGTATTCTTTTTTTGGCACAGAAAACTATGAATCTAGAATCTAACGAGCGCTGTTATTTTTTGCTTGTTTGAGCAATGTGATGCAACCTAGACCCAGGGAATTTTATATACTTTAGGTGGGCAGTCCCATACCACTGAACATGTGCTCAAGGGTGATATGTCCTCCAGGAATCCAGTCCAAGTCCACACAAAACATCTTCACCCCCAGCCAACCACTTCCCAGTCCTTTATGGGTCACAGAAAGACACAAAACCAATTCCATTCTTCCATTAATCCTGGAAAAATATTCCAAGTTTATGTCCTTCTCACATCATTAGCCAGATTCCCTACCACTAATTTCTTCACTGGATTAATCTACCTAAATAAAAATTCTGATCTTTTTCTCACTTTTCTGCTCACACTGTATTGCCTACCCAATTACAGGTGAACTCTGCCTCCTGGTATTCAAGATCTGCAATATCCTCAACTGACATTTATGGCCTCATCTACTGTTATTTCTTTATTTGAAAGAGACCTTTCTCTCCTCTAAACAGAACTGCTTCCAAGCCGGTTATAATGATTCTTTTATCTTGCTGGGTTGTGAGGTTCTTGAAAGCGAAGATGTTTATCTGTCTTGTTTCACTGCATTTCTTGCCAGTATATTAGATATAAATTGATATTAAAGTTTCATTAAATGCAGTGAGCTCAAACGATGAAATTGTCATTATTAATCATATAGGCTGTGTCTTAAGCATCCAGTCACTGTTACAACAACATCTACCATTGTTTGAGCTAAGTCATGTACTTTTGATACATTATCTGAAAACTTCACAACAAAATGCATATTCCTTCCAATGAAAAAGAAAGGAAAGATTAGAAGGAAAGGATTGGAGAGATTAAATTAGGTCACACAGCTAGTTAATGCCAGTATGGGCTTTAAACTTCCATCTGTCTCCAAATCTTTGCTTTTTCCACTAGACCACATTGTCTAATAAACACAGGAGGTCTGGTTCTAGAATGTTGGATAGGGTTGCTAAGCCTGCCTGCTTATCTATTTAGGAGATAATTAAAACTTAGAAGAGGATCATTGGTTAGGTGTTTTTACCTTTTTCACATTTCATTGGAACCTGTGTTTCCTGAAATGACATCCTTTCTGTACGTTCAGAAAAATGCAGGGTGCTTCTCAAGCTTCCAAGATGAGTTATAGAGGATGTTTTTCCTTTATTATTAGGATACATGTGGAGTTCTTGCACCTTGAACACTGTGTTTTTTTTGGTAAAGTATAATGTATTCTATTATCTCCCTTACCAGTTTTTCTTTGATAATGAGTACTTTAGGGAAACATTTGTCAGCATAGTGGAACGAGTCTAGCATCAGAAGCTCAGTGACAAGGGTTCAAATCCCAGTTCTTTACATATTTGTTATCCTGGGCAAAAATAACCCAACCAATATGTTTCAGTTTCTTTATGTGTAATAATGCAGCAGTTATGAAGATCAAATATGTACATGTAAAACACTTTTAATATAAAGTTCCTATCGTAGGACACTGGGTGTTAGCTCAAAAAGAAAATTTTAATCCTTTTTGGTTTAGTGCATTGTTTTTGCAAGAAAAAAAAGAAAAAGATTTTGTTGATAAGCAAATTTATTGTTACTTCTAAGGTGAATTACACCCTTCTAGAACCCAGACATGTTTTCCATTAAGGGCTGGCTTAGTCTACTCTCAGGTAGTGGTTTGTACTGAGAAGAATCTAACATTTGATTTTTAAAAGTATTTCCTTTTTACATAGAGGAAAGTTGTATTAAGCTAAACTTTTTTTTCACCCTCTCTTTACAACTCTTTCTGTTATATGGGATTATTATTAAGGTTGGCATTTATTCATATATTGCCACATTTGTGAAGACCTATCAGGAAATTTCAGCCTCTAAAGTTTTGTTTCACAAAAGTGTTAGCATTCTTGTTCCTTACAAAGGTGAATTATGTAATTTACTTAGCCCCAGTTTACTTTCATTCCAGGAAACTCAAAATCAAGTTTACATTTTAATAGCTTTATGAGATTCTGTGATCTGCAAATCTATATTTCCTGATCCTGTATTTATAAAAACTGAAAACATTTTTTAAAGGAATTATCTGGAGGTATGAGTTCGTTCACTGTACATAGTAAGAGCTGGTTCCCTACCATGTGTAATCTTTATATTGTTTTCATAGGGTACTTATGAGTGTGTCAAAGTGATTAGTTGTTCAGGTTCAGGGTCTGGAGCACTATTGGAGTTTTCCATGTGGGGGTATGCCACCCGGGTTCCCGAAGACTCAGATAACTGTCCTTCCTCTTCTGGAAGGAACTAAGAAAAAATACCATAATTGTCCTTGGTCCTCACACCTTCTTCCCCCTGACCTGTTAAAATCACATGTACACAAAAACTTTGCAGGAAGTACCTTCTAGCCCCAGGCCAGCTCACAGGTCAAAATCCCTTTAAAAAATCTGTTTACCTTTGTATTTTACCATTTTTGTTATTCTATTCATAAACGACTTCGTATTTTCAATGAAAAGAGAAGGATATGAACAATAAAAAAAGAGAAGAGCAAAAGAAAAAAATTCTAAAACATGATACCAATGACAGTTTTAACCAAATATTATAAAATAGAATCATACCCATATATCCTTTTTTTATGAGGAAGCACTAAGAGCTAATGAGTTCTAAAATTTTTCTTGTAGAAAACCCAGTGTCTGCCTGTGTTTAATCAAGCAACTAGTTGTCTTAAATTTTTATAGGGTTTTCCAAGGTGATCTGTAATTAGTTGAGTGGAAGCTAAATAAAACCTGAGACTAGAGTGCTCAGCTTTTAAACATTCTCTTTCTAATGTTTCAGTGTGTACAGAGTATGCTGGATGGGGGCAATCCTGCAGCTGTGCTTTTTCAGCCTTTCCATTTATTCCATGACAGCTTTCTTTCCTATTTAAAAAGAAAATATTCTTGGCAAGAATATTCAAATGAGAAGACATAATAGCACTTGGAACAGAAGACTTTGATGTTTAAAAAAAAAAGATACACTGAGGAATCTGAAATGTAGAACTGTTTAATTATTAATGAATTGATATGAAAATTTATGAATTCATTCTATGTTGACCTTTCAGAAAGTATATAAAAGGTTTTTTTTAAGTATACTAGCTGATGACCATAAATCAGTTCACCCTCTTAGAATGTGATCTTTGAAAATTATACCTAATAGTATCTGATATTAATGGACTACTGAACCTGAGCCTTAAAAGTTGCCACAAAGTGCTTTATTATTTTGAAGGCAAAATTAATTGCCTTAACAAACCAGTAGTGATTTAGAATATGATTTGAATCTGAATATGGTAGGCGATCATAGAAGTTCACTGAGAATGTTTTGAAGTTCTTTATGCAAAGTTATTTCAGTTTCATTACTAATGAGCTTCTGGGGTTTTATTCTTGTTCAGTGAATCTTGATGCCTTACCCAGTCCCCTGACATTTATCCAAAGCAGTAATAGCAAATATATACAAATATACATAATATCCACCCATAGGACCGCACCATTTCTAACTTGGCTGAACAAAAACAACAGATTCTCCTGGCAGAAGGGGCCTTTCCTTACCTTGTCCAAACTAAGGCAAATCCATTTCTTCAGTTCTTAAGGTTGTTGTAAAAGACAAGAACACTTAAATCTCTTACGAATTGGAACTCATCAAAGGTAGGTGTCTTTGAAGCTTGCCACTAACTTGCTTGATGAACATGAATGAGTTACTTAATCCTTCCTAAAAGTCTCCACTTCTTTATCAAGAGAAGACAATCTGAGGTTTATGAAGAGGAAATGAGACAGGGATGTAAGCCTCAGAACAGTACCTAGCACCCACTGAGCACCAGGGGCCTGCTCTTTCTTTCCTCATCCACAACCATCCACTGATCACCATCTCTGTGCCAGCTTCTATGCTAAGTGTGATCACAGGAAAGAAGACGTGGTTTCTGCCTAGATGGTGCTTACAAAGACATAAACAAATCTGGTAGCAGGTGGCAGTGAGAAAGGCCGCACTTAAGAATGATTCAAACTGGGTTTAAGGACAGGGAGAAGGGTATTTGGAGAAGGGAAAAAAATACAGAAAGGCAGAGATGAGAAAGAATCTTTAGTGTACCTTTCAGTGTCTGAGAAGTTCACTACTCAGTAAAAGCATTTAGGAAAAATGTGTTGAGGATGATTTATATTGCCCTCTCTGTCCTACTTGTGAGGAGAATTTATAGAACCATGTAGTCTGTACCCATCACCAAAAGAAACTCTTTAAATAATTTTCTAGATAAGTTAATTCTAAGTAATAGCTGACCAATTCCATGGTGCCAAGATGTACTAGTCAACTACACTCATTTCTATTATTTAATAAGTATCTAGAAATAATGTTATCTGCGGAGGCTTACTGAGGTTAAGTGTTGGGCAAAGAATGGAGAGAGGTGGGCAGATGGCTGGCAGAGCACTTGCGGAAACAGGCTTAAGTCCAGCTCTTCAAATATGGTTCACTAGCCATGTGCCCTGAGGAAAAAGTTCATCTCATTTTGTCAGCAATTTCCACTTTCCACCCCACTCCCTTGCTGGGGATTGGGCGCAGGACCTTGTGCATGCTAGGCTGCTTTACCACTTAGCTGTAGAGTGCTTACCTAAGTGCTTAAGCACAATCCCTAGTCCCTACTTTTAATTAAGTCAATTTACAAAGAAAGATGTATCAAGAATAACAAAGTAGCATAAATTAAGACAAATGAGAAAAATAGAAACCAAATGTAGGAAAGAAATCTGAATCATATTAATGAAAAATTTTTACTGTGAATTTAGTCTAAAGCTTCCTTAAAAACCAAAGTGAAGAAGAAAACCAGAAAGAGTTTATGTTATCTAACTGTGGTGTCCAACATGACATCCACTAGCACTTGAAATGTCACCAGTCCAAACTGAGAGGTGCTGTGAGTATAAAATACACTCTTATTTCAAAGATTTAGCACAAAAAAGATAAAATATCTGTTTTTTATATGTATTGTCTATTGAAATAATATTTTAGATATGTTAGGTTAAAATATTAAAATTAAATATTAAAAGTTTCATCTGTTTGTTTTTAATTTTTAAAAATGTGGCTACCAGAAAATTTAAAATTATAGGTATAGCTCACTTTTGTAGTTCATATTATATTTCTATTGGATAGTGATAATGTATAAGATAAAAGCATCCATTAACCAATGAATAGAAAATAAAATATGGTATATCCATACAAGGAATATAATTCAGTAGTAAAAAGGAATGAAACAATGGGTACAGAGTTCTTTCTAGGGTAATGAAGTGTTCTAAAATTGATTATGGTGATGACTGCACAACTCTAAGTATGTTTAAACCATAGAATTATAAACTCTAAAAAATGAACATATTATCTTTGTCATAATCATAAAGATAAAAACCTTGGAATTTGAGAATGTTATCACCTAGATAGAAAGTGGCTCTCTAAGGGCAACCACTAGGTAACATACCATCAATATTCAATCCAGTCAGTATTCAGTTATCAATATTCTCAGAGTAAATACAAGGGTGAATTGTGCAGGTCTATCTTTTATCGTGTTTCTAATATGTGCCAATGGCATCATGTTAGATTCAGTAAACATATATGAATGCTACCTTCAGCTTAGACTTCTGAAAATTCCACAGCCAGGCATTCTTAATGCTCCAATATACCTCAATTTCAATGTGACCAAACACTCTTGTTCTGTATTTTCTGTCCAATTGGTACCACCATCATCCATCCAGTGGCCAATGATAGCAACCTGGGATTCCACTTTGAATCTTCATTGCCTTTCACTTATGCCATTCTATCTCTCCGCCAGTTCAGGCTTCCAAATAGTTCTTGAATCCGAGTCCTCCTTTCTGTTCTCCCTCCTCTATCCAGGCCCTTAATGTCTCCCGACTGGATTATTGCAGCAACCTTTTAACTGATCTTTGCTCCTGGCACCTAAATCAATCCCCACCACCATCTGCTGGCACTATCACCCTAAAATGCCATGAATTTCCATCACTTGCAAGACAATCATTAAAGCAAACATGGCTCTCCATGACCAGGACCTTGCCTCCCTCTCTCTTCTCAATCTCTGCATACTCTCAGTATCCATGTCTGCCAGAGCACCTGCCCACCCTCCTGAATTTGAAGTGACCAACTCTAATTCTATCAGTCCAGTTCGGGAACATCTCCCCGTAGGCCTAGATATGGGTCACTGTACCTTCCGTGTTGTTATAGCATTTATTTAGTCTGTCTGCCCTGCCAGCCATAAGCCACCTGAGGGTCAGGACCGTGCCCACATTTTTTCTCATCTCCAGAGCACCAGTGCAGACCCCAACACAACAACGCTTAACAGATATTCATTGAATACTAATGAACTGCAGGTGAAAGAAACATGATTTAAATTTGGAATCTAGAGAAATGGTTAAAAGTCTTATAAACCCAAATTTTAAGTGATAAATGCCCTGTGTGCCTCCATGAGGCATGAATCATGTCTGTTTTTCTCATCACTGTCTCCAATATCATTCAGCACTTGCAGGATGAGTGAATGGGAAAACAAATGAATGAACAGAGGTGCAGGCAAAGAAATATGTTGAAAACAAACTGCTTCCATGAGAATGGGTCTAACAAATTGCAAAAATTGTCCTTTGTATCATTTCCCAAACCTGAGTCAGATCATTCCTGAAACCTAAGGAAGCATTTATTTTGCCCTAGAACAAATAATTATCTAATTGGTCGTGAAAGTTTAGATGACACATGTTGGTGTGTCCCCGCATTCAACCACATTGTAGAGCCCGGATGAATATGGCCCACTCTCCAAAGGGAGAGACGTGAGCTTCTTTACTGTTTGTGTGGAGTGAAAATGGTCACTTCTCCAGAATTCTTCAGAGCGCATGTCTAGACTGATTCATGCAAGACAGAATGATGTGTCACAGATGCTTCACAAAAATAAAAAAAAGAGAATGTAGTCTTTTTTTTTTTTTTTTTTTTTTTTGCTTTGGCTCTGCGATGGTTGCTTTTTGTTCTTATAATTCTATAGTCAATAATATAGAAACATGAACAAAAATGAAGAGATATCTTTAATTTTTCAGGTAGAGCAGTGGGTGAGAAGGCATGAGAACTGTGCCAAATCTGGGGGAAGGGAAGAGCAAAAGGAATGGCCAACAAATTTGACAACAGGCCAGAGGCTTGAGGCAAAGCTGAAGCCAAGAGATTCCCAACATCTGTAATGGCACATGGCAGATTCTTAATAAGTGTGGGCCGAACAAATAAATGTGGAGGGTAATACTGACTTTCCATCTGACTTTAAAGAAAACCCTTTTAATTGTGTTGATTTACATTTTAGTGGTTATGGCTCAGCTTTGGACACAGAGAGAAGGGAAATGGAGCCCAGCTCTGCCACTTCCCAGTGGCATGGACAAGGCACTCAGTCTCCAAATGAAGCTATTATGCATCTAATTGATCATCAGAGGGACGTGTTTAAATGAACTCTGGTACAACCACACAATGCAGTCGAAAAGAATGAGGATGGTCTTTATAAAATGTTATGGAAAATTTCTGAAAAATGTTAAGAAGTTTCCAGAATAAAGCCATCCACAAAACCACTTCCCCATTCTCCAGGTATAGAGATATGTAAATTTGTAGAAAAACTCTGGAAGGATGTACACCAATGCAGCAATAGCAGTTATTCGAAGTAGGGGACTGATATTGAAGGGTGGTGACCATGTGTGTTTTGAGTAAGTTTTTTTATGTAAATTTTAATTTTTAATAACAAATGCATTCAACAATTACTTGTAAATTACTGCACCTTAAAACTACATTTAAAATATCTACATAGTACTGGGTCAAAGGCTAAAATGAAACAATGACTATAAATGCATTGCCTGACAGAAAAAACAACAACAACAACAAAAAAAAAACCTCTTATTACATAGATTGTGTACAATCCCATTGCCCTTTCCAGTAAGGATTCCTGGAAAGGGCAATGGGAACCTCAGGTCTAAGCACCAGATCCATGCCTGACACTTTCTTTACAACAGTCCTTCCTATAAGGTACATGTTATGTGTGACATTGGGCTAGTTACTCTCTATGCTTCAGATTACTCATCTACCACAGGGAATAATATATCTATATTTTATAGATATGGTAAGAAAGTTAATACATGGGAAGCTCTTGAAATAGTGGTTAGTGAATATTAACTATTAACATGACATTATCATCCATATACTTGACCTAAGAAGACAGATGCTTTAAAGATGGTATTACTTAACCAAGTTCATGCAGCTAGTAAATATCTGACCTAGAATTTTAATGAAAATTTCTGCGAGGTTTTTACACTGTGTGTGCACGTGCACGCAAACACACACAACACACACACACACACACACACACATAAACAAAATATGGGCAGGATGGGGTTATGTGGTTTAACGAATGCAGAGTTTTAGTTTGGGATAATGAAAAAGTCAAGAGACAGTGAATATGGTTGCCCAACAATATGAATAGACTTAACGCCACTGAATTGTACACTCAAAGTGGTAAATTTTATGTTATATATATTTTATCACAATTAAAATTTAGAGGGGCTGGGGTTGTACCTCAGTGGTAGAGCGCTTGCCTCACATGCATAAGGCCCTGGGTTTGGTCCCCAGCATGACATAAAAATGAACAAATAAAAATAAAGATATTGTGCCTATCTATAGCTAAAAAGTATATTTTTAAAAAAATTAGAAAAATAAATTAAAAGAAAATAAATTTCAAAATGAAATAGAATAAATTTGCCTGAAGACTGCCAGTCTAGAAACTATAACCGCCTCTCAACAGCCTATGCCTGGGGCTCTCGGCCTCTGGCTGTGCCTCCTACATTTGCAAGGTCTAGATTCCTTCCATCACCCCAAGTCCCCACCATCCACCCTCCCAGCAGCCTCCCAAGCCCTCTCTCAGCCTTCAGTTTGGTGTAGCTTGCCCCAGTGGAGTTTGAAGCTGGCAGCAGCTGTCCCTGGTCCTGTCTGGTCCTGTTCTCAGGAATCTGACAGGGCTCTTCCCTCTGATGACCCTGCTCCCCCATAAGCCCTAGCTCTGCGTTACCGCCTCAGTGAAAGCCAGAGTGGTGCCTGTCTTGCCTCACATCTCACAGCCAGCGCAGGGGGGACTTGTGCACACTGCAAGTTGCTCTTCCAGCACCAGCACAATCCCTACCAGCTGGATTGGAGTTCCAGCCAGCAAACTGCAGGACCAAATCAGTATGCAGACCACATTCTGCTTAGCTTGTCACAAAGAGGAGACCTTTAAATAAAGGGCTCACATTTGGTTTTTGTGTTTTGTTTTTCTGGAAGACAAGCAATGAAATATTAATTAATGTTAAGACTGTTTCTCTAACCAGCACAAGTGACACTTACCATTCCAACTATGGGCACATCTAGTGATCTCTGCTCTAAAGCCTGACAACTTGGACACTCTCTGCTGGACCCTGCCCCAGAGGAATTAGGTGCGTATATTCCTTTTGACATGATTCACCTGTAAACTGGATCCCACATTAGTCATTACCCAACGGGAACATCTGGCAAGACTTCCTCAGTCCCAGAGCTCATTTGGAATTGGGTCTCATAGGAAGGCTGTTCCTTGCCATCTCATTGTTGGTGGCATTGCTTGACCAGCACATCACAGGTCTCCAGCCAGGAAGGTTTGCTAAAAATGTCAGTGCAGTGCAAACTCTTTACAGAGGCCTCCCCACCCTCGCTTCAGCTGTGCTTCGGGTTAAATTGGCTCCCCAGGGCCATGCAATTTACCCAGTATCACAGCAATGAGTCAGCCCCCTGTCCTTGGTTCCTTTGTCATTTGTCAGCATTTACTCTGTGCCAGGCACTGTCCTGGGCACTGGAGATAAACATTTCTACACTCAAGTAGCTTCCAGACCAGTGGGGTTGACAGACATTACCCACTAACACAAATGAAAAATTACTATAATGCCTAAGAAAGAAAAGGAGCCGATGCTATAAGACAACATAAGGGAGAGACACTGGGTGGCAGAAAATGTAGTTTAAATTCTGTTGGCTCAGAGGAAGCCTCTCCATGGAAGTAACGTCTCACGGGAGCCCCAGAGAACAGCTGTTTCCACCCCCTTCTCCCAAAGGGTATGGCTGCCCTGTCTCCTGTCACCCCCATGTTCACACACAAAGGCACAAATGGATTCAAATATATAGCTTGGCACATGGACAAACAGATTCACACAGACACTGAGACACACATATAAGTACACACATACAAAGACACAGATACACACAAAGCAATCAGGCATATGTGTGTGGCTACACAGATAGAAACACATGGGCACATAGACACAGAGACCCACACAGAGACCCACAGAGACAAATACAGACACATACATGCACAGAGACTCTCAGGCATGTGCACACACACAAACACGGGCACGTGTCCCTCTGTGACATATTAAACCTGCTCCTGAAAGGCCATTTGAGGTGCCTTTTCACCCCATGGCTCCCATTGGAGGCTGGAGGCCTGGGGTGTCAGGGGATAGTTCTTCCCATTGCATCTGGTACAGGGTGTGGCCAATGGCTTTGCACACAGTAAACAATGGCTCTTGTTTCAAGTAGTTCTGCCTCTTGCTTGCTCTGCAGGCAGTGTTGCTGAGGCCTGTGCTCCAGTCTCATTGAATATGTGACATCTGCACATTCCAGTTTTCAAGCATCAAACTCTTCCCTGAAATATCAGCACAAACCAGTCCCTCAGACTCAGAAAAGTCTTGCTGGTTCTAAAGCTTCGACACACATTTGCATATTCCACTGAAGGCAGAGAAGCCCAGGCAAATGTGAAGGTCAAGAGATTTTGGGTTGGCTGGAATTTTTTTTTTTAATCATAAGAGGGCTTTAAACACATACACACACACACACACACACACACACACACACAGGTTTTTTTAAAAATAGGGAAGTTATTGAATAATCAGTGAGCTCATGCTTTAAAATTGGAAAATTACATAGCAATATATTTAAATGCTGCACATAGAACATCACCATCCTCCTTCTGAGCCTCAACTCATTGGCTCCCAAGTTCCTAGGCAGAGTGAAGGCCAGAGTAGAATTGGTTTACTTCTGGAGCTCTGTTTGTTCCCACCAGCTCCTTATTTTAAAAGCAGTCCTCAAATCCAAGGAAGGCATAAAGAAAGCTGCCTAGCTTCTCTGTAGGAGCCAGAGGGAAAGCCCAGGGACACCCTGGTTTCTCTGCACGGTTGTTTCCCTCCTCTCCTCCCACATTTTCCACAAAAAGAAATGCAGAATACATCCCCATGAGGGTGACCTTTGTAATAACTGACCCTGAACATAGTGGATTACAATTCAGCCGCTCCCTGTAGAGTCAGCCCTGACAGACTCACAAAGTTTGCCAGAAAAGTCGATAGAAGGCTGACAGATCAAAAGTGAGTCGTGCCAGCTCCACTCTTAGGAAACAGTTAGACGGGTGTCTGACTGCTGACACCTCGGTTCTTTTCATAGTAGGTCTGAAAATAGCTCAGAATTCTTTAAATGTCTGGAGATGTAGGCAATGAAAAGAGTTTTGAGTGCAAAAACCCTCCCCAAGAACCCCAATTCTGTTTCTGCCACATCACCCAGTCAGTCTGCTCAGGCCACATTCCTAGGTGTTCAGGGACCTCTGGACAGCCCACGTCCCTTTGAGAGATTGTTAGTCTGGGATTCAGAACTGGCCACCTATGAAGGGGTGAAGATTCTGGTCATCTAACATTCATATCACCAGACCCTTTGGGCTGTCAACTTTGTGTGTCCCTTGCTACAAACCTCTCGTAACTCTGTGGCCTGCCCCTGTTGCCCCATTGAAAGGCACCTCCTTTCTAAATAGGCTCTTTTCTCTGTCTTAGACCCTTAATGGGCCCATGTGGATTTTCCACGTTTTCATTCCTAACCCTTCATATCTGTGGTTGTATTTAACAGAAACACCAGGAGTGGCCAAAGAAGTCACCAGTAGATCTAAGATACTGAAAGGGGAAAGATAAACTCTGGGGGTGGGAAACGATGTAATATAGGAAGAATCAGTTGGGGCAGCCCTAGACATGAGTCTGTGGGGAATTAACAAAACACATGTTAATAAGGACTGAAGCCTAGGGAGTCTTTAGAGTGGATACCATGGGCCCAGGTGCGGCAGCGCTCTGATGAAAGCATTGGTCAGACCTGAAGCCCAGTGGGTGTGGGAATGAGGGAGACCGCTGGGACAGTGAAGGGGCACCCCTAGATGGCATTTCTCCAGGCATGGTCTGAAAAACACCTGCTTCAAAATCACCTTGTCCAGTTGTGGTGCAGGTTCATGCCAGTAAGCCTAAATTAATCCCAAATGATTCCAAGACTGAGGCAGGAGGACCAAAATTTCAAGGCCAGCCTCAGCAACTTAGTGAGACCCTAACTGAAAAACAAAAGAAAAATCACCTGGGATATTTGGGGATGTAGCTCAGTGGAAGAGTGATTGCCTAGCATGCACGAGACCCTGGCTCTGATCCCCAGCACCTGACTGCTTTTTAACTACAGATTTCTGCTCCTACACAAGAGTTTGATTTTATAGATGGGTGACGTCCAGAGATTGACTTTGCTGAAAGCTCCCCAGATGATTTTGATGCCAAGTGACTCTAAAGTCTATATTGCTTAATGACCGTGAATAACATCCTTCCATTTACTTCCCTCAAATCTAGTATGGTACTGGGCAGTTAGGCAGCTGTTGGCAAATGACTGCTGTGGCCAAAAAAAAAAAAAGATAAATAAATGGGGGATGGGAGAGAGTTAAAGATGACAGAAAATTTACCTGGTGACTTCCAAATACACACAGGTAACTCAGGCAAGGGGCCCAGGTGAGGTGGGGCCAGGAAGAGAGGTAGGCCTCATCCACATTCTAGCAGAGTTTGGGTGTGGCTGAAGAACACTGCAGGCTGTGTGACAGAACTGTGGGGGGATGGAGAAAGTCAAGAGGAGAATGAAAAACTAGCAGAGCCAACAGCGTGTGGGGCCCAAAAATCAGAGAAGGGGGTGAGAGAGAACTTAGAGATTCGCCTATGTGGTTAAAGAATTTGGGAACTGAGAACCGAGGACAGGCGACTGCACTTATCTATTAGGGAAGCACTGACCATCAAAGAGAGCAGTTTTGCAGGAGAGGCAGGAATAGAAGCCAATCACAGAGATAAAATAAGGAAATGGCTGAAGAGGAAAGCCCAGGCCCCAGTGGTGGTCACCCACGCTGGCACTTCTCTGGGAAAGGAGGGCTGTGCAGGTCTTGGGGCCCACTCTTCCTCTGGCTGTCCCGCAAATACCTGTCTTCTAAAAGGGGTGCTTTTCTTTCTTGTTTTTGTCCCTGTCCTGCTCCCGTGGCCTCAGCTTCCATCTCTAAGCCAATGACTCATCCAGGCCTCCGTCTGCTCACCCCACACCTCCATCTGTGCTTCTTGCAGGTTCAAGGAGGCATCTAAGATTTCCCTTCGCCTCTCCACACCATCATCACCCAGCCACCAATCCAGCCTGAACCCAGAAGCTGTCCTTCCTGTCCCCCTGTCTGCCCCCACCACCCTGTCCTGATGCAGGCCTCCTGGTCGACCTGCCTGCACCTTCCTCCTCTCCTCTCTCCCTTTGAATCTGGCCTGCACTAAGGCCAGTGACCTCAAGGAGGGTTAGGCTCCTTCCTACGCTACCAAGCTGCTGCCAGTCACATTCTATTATCATAAATCTAGTCAGGATGTCCCACCCAGTGACAGAAGAATGCAGCTCAAGCAAGTTAGATGGTTTTGCTCAGGCTTCTTTTCAGCCACACTGACTTGGATATTTCTCGTATGTGCTGGGCTGCTTCTGCCTTTGTGGCTTTGGTTTGTGGCGGTCCCTACTCATGGAGGAAGAGCTCTCCTCCTTTTCTCTTCCCTCCATCTCTCCATCCTTGACTCCCACCTGCATCCTCTGTCTGACCAACACCCAGCTCCCTCCCTGTTCAGGGTCCAGAGTCCCAACTTCACAGAGAGCCACTCCTCCTTCCCTTGTGTCCTTACAACCCTCTTCACCCAAAATGTGTTCAGTATTCCCCACGGCCTCTGTTCCATGGAAACCTTAGACTAGGTGGGAGGAGAGGAGAGGCTCTTGGAGGAGAAGAGGGGAGTGATCCAGCAGTTGTTACCTTGCAGGAAGCCATGGGGGCCCGTGTTCACTGGAAACACAATAAATTCGAAAGAAGGCCTAAAAGAACATCATTAAAATTGCCTCTCCCTGACTTACTCTCTGCTCTTGCCCTTCTCTCTTCTCTGCCTTTTCTCTTTTTCACTCTCTCCTGTATTTTTTTCTCCACTCCCTCCTTTTCCTGGCTTCTTCCTATCCCCTTTTCCTTCAGTAGGAACTTACACCAGCTCCGAGGCATGCCTGCCCTCTCTCCCTCGCCCTGCCTCTTGCCCCTCAGCCAGGTCTTTGAGGCTGGGCTTATATCTGTCTTTCCAATTGCATCAGCTTGTCAGCTGCTGACCTAGTCATCTGCTTGGGAGAATCTAACCAGGAGGACAGTGTTAGTGATAAATGAGGTCACAGGAGGAGGAAAGCATGGCAGCTTTTCAGATCTGCAGTTATCAATGGGATGTGACACCCATGTCAAGTCCTTGGCCTGAAGGGCTAGTTAAAAGTTCTCCTGTAAAGAAAAGGACACAATAACCACGTGAGTGCTGTGCTTAAGCTCTTCCTTCTAGAGGAGGTGTTTGCTTCTCCTTTTAAGATGCAAGGCCTTGTGGCCCCAAAATAACCCTCACATCTGTTTATACCCCTGCTAGAGGGAGGTGATGAATCACATCCACTTGATGGAGATGCAACAGTTATGGTAAGGTTCTAGAACCTTCTCAGTGCTGCACATGTACCCACATGTCCTTTCTCAGCCCTGGCTTAGGAAGAGGACGCTGTGGATTCCCCTGCTCAGCAGTGTGAGTTAAGTGTGGGATAGGGAGAGTCTTCTGCCCTGTACACTTAGGGGCCTGGTGCAACCCAAGAATCTTATGGGAACGGGGATTGTTCCAGGCATCACAGAGTGACAAATAAAAGTGAGCAGTTAGCCCTAAAACCAAATGGGATCGGTGTGATTTCCTTCTCTGCCTGATGATATTTAATAGCAGGAATTCAGATTAGGTGTAAATAATATAAAGCCCAAAGGAGACAATTGCTGATGATTTTAAAACTATTCACTTGGAACAGAATCAGCCCAAGCATTTCTCTGATACGGTTGTCCCTAAAACTGTCTTCTATTGTGGCTGCCTGCTGAAGAGAAAAATGATGCCAAATAGGAGGTTGTTTGTAAGCAGTCCCTCTGCTCTGCTTAAAAATAAATTAGATACATCAGAAACTGCTCACTGCTGTCATGAGAACATAGGGAAGCATGCAAAATTCTGCTTTTAAATTTAAGCAAACAAGTGGGCAGGGACATAAAGACCATCTAATCCAATCTCTTAATTTTGCAGCTGTGGAACATGAGGCTCAGAGAGGCAAATAGTTACAGAGGCCAGTCAGCCCAGCACCCTTCCTCTGGGTTCCCTGCAGCCTTCAGTAAGGCTCAGATTCTTAAGTCCTGGGTAAGTAGAGCTAAGAGCTGGCTCCAGGAATTCCCACCAGTATTTACACCTAACAAGGCAAGAAACTATGGTTACCCAGTACCCAATTTACCACCAGGAGCTACTTCAGTAGCGGGAAGAGTGGTACCCAGGATGGCAGGGCTGCCAGCAAAGATATCGAGCAGGACAGTGCAGGGGGAATCCTGCAGGCACCTCTGGTTTACTAGGACTCCAAGAATACATGACCATTCCTTCTGCCAAGCACTCTAGTGGCTCTTGATCCAGGCAAGAAAGGGACCACACCTCTATCTGCCTGAAGGACAGACAACCAACCATTCCCAATCATTGCTGGAAAAACCCAGGTTTCCGCAGGAAATCCAATCCCCAGCTGTGTTTGCCACTCCATATGTAAGAGAAGGGCCTCAAGGAAGCATAAACACTTTCCTATTTAATCTGCATGCTTTGCAAGCCTGGAGTCCTGAGTATGTTGGCCACGCTCCTGATTCCCAAGTCGAGGCGCAGAAACTGAAGTGTAGCAATCAGACATAATGGTTGAGCAGAGCCCGCCTCGATGCTTGCACAGTAGTGTGTTAATGAGTGTTAAAACTGACATCGCAAATACAGCGTTCTCAATATTTAAAATTACAACTCTGTAACAAGTCATGCTGTTAAAACATACAAGAAATACCAGTTAAGCCTTCAAGTAGACACCGCACAGCCCATATAGACCGCTGCTATCCCAAAGTGCATAACAAATCATTTTCTTGGAAACGAGGCAAGAATTAGCAGGTGGTTCCATTATTTGAGTACTAAGATAAGTAGAAATAACAAATCCAAATATTAAATACCAATTACTACCTGATGAGCTACAAATCAGCTCGGCATTACAACATGCCCCTCCTCAACAGCAAACCCAGAAAACATGGGGGTTTGGTGGAAAACACAAACCTATGACCAATGTGCATTCATGTAATAAATGTGTATCACTTCCCAACCTAGGCCTTCAAAAAGCTTGTCCCATATATTGTGAGAAAACCCTGGCCCAAATATTTGTCCCAATGTTCTTTGAAAAGAACCATCTTCAAATGGTGGAAGTGATGCCGCTCTCAAGCCAATAGCTGGAAATGAGTCATAGCATTTCTACTTTGTCCTAAAGAAGGTTTACAGATCAGTCTGATAGCTTTGTGGCCAAACATGTCATCTCATGCTTGCTAAGAGTGGTGCAGAAAATTAACCTCCCTGATTAGTTTCTGGGACTAGAAGGAATTGCTACAAATAGGCCGAGTTATCTAGCAAGGTCAACCAAACACCTTGATTCTGAGACAGCTCATTTCAATGGGACCTTGGGGAAGGGGAGGGATCCCTGGTCATAGTTTAGTCTCCATCTATTGTGGGAATCCACTGCAGTGTTCAAGCCAGCCGAGTTCTTATCTTTCAGTTATTTGAAACCACTATTTGGAAAACTTAATACTATTGAGATATTCTTAAGCTGAAAAGTGACTGAAGATCCCAGTAGGCAAAGGAATATTTTTACAAGTATATATGTGTGTGTGTATATATATGTACAAGAGATGTTAAAAACACAGTCTCTAAAGCATTTTGGGATTCCCCCAAAGAAAGGCACCAGATAAATGCAAGTCATTACCAAAAAGAAAAGTCAAGTTTTCCAGCTTTTCATATCTGCAAAGGTAACCACTAAGGGTGGTAAAACTCTCTCTCTCTCTCTCTCTCTTTTTTTTTTTTTGGTGGTAAAACTGCTTGTTTGGAAAGATCCTCAGGAAAGTGACTGAGTTATTCTGCCTCCTTCCTTGTTTCCACTTTGCACAGCTTTATGGTCAGTGACCATGGATACCACACTCAGTGACCCGATACCATCAACCCTGACAGATTTGTGACAGTACTCATAAGTTTGTACCATCACCTGCCTGCAGTGCAGCTGGGATGATTTTGTAAATTTTCTGCCCCCCAGGGCTGGAAAATAACATCCAAAGCCAAAAATTCCATGTGCAAAATCTGAAAAAATAACCCTGCTCTTCTGACTCACTGGTCTGTTGTCTTTAAGTCATTTCCCCTTTCCTGATGCTTCTAAGAAACATATATACATCTGCACATAGGCACATCTGCACATGGCCACCTCTCCCCCGAGCCCCCACCATGAGACTTCAGTCTGATGGAAGGATTTGAACTGGAGGCTCAAGGGCATAACTGGCCTATGTATTCAACCAACAAATCGCCCACACTGCAGTAGCTATGGCAACTACAAGTACACAAAGACCTCTGAGAATATCCTTTCCACACTCTTGTGAAGTATGGATTATCCTCAACCTACTAAAACACAAAATGGACCTCATAAGGGGAGGCCCAAGCTTTGGATAAAAGCCTGCCTAACTTCCTGCTTAGATCCCTGGATTCTACAGCCTTGCAGAAGACTGAACTATAATGAAAGCCACCTGGAAAACCATTAGATTACCTAGAAGATGACAGAAAAGGATTATCTTACAAAGGGGCCAGGTTCCCCTTCTCAATGTTATATGCTGGTTAACTAAAGAGGAGGTAGGGCGTTTTGGAGAAGAAAATGGTAGTCTCCCTACAATATAAGCTTAGCAGTTTAAAGGTCTTTTAAACAGCCTTATGCTATTCAAGAAGTTTACAATTATTTATGACATTTTATGAAGTAGAAATTTTTTGTTTTATAACTTTTGCCTGGCCTCTACCCACCCTTCCCCAATAAATGGCAATTGGAATGGAAATAAAACTTTAGTGTTTCCATCCTGGGTAAGCCACACTGTCTTCATGCACATCTAAATTTTGAGTATACACTTCTATATCACCATGTCATGGCAGGAATTCAGGGCAACCTTAACATCAAATGCAATGTACAATATCCTAGAAGCAAAACTCTCTGGGCAAATTCTGCTTGGAATTAAAAGGGCTCTTATTTTATGAGCTTTTAGAGCAGTCAACAAAAGTATTTAAGGTACTGCTCTTGCTAGCAACCTAATAATGTTCCCCTCGGGGAGACAATACAACAGTAAGCCTCTTCTAGGCTGAGAAAGACAACACAACCTAATTCTTAAATGTCTTAAAAATTAAATATTTCAAAAACATGCTAATATCTAAGACAGCAAACTTTGGTCAATGGCTTAGACCAGGAACCTATCTCAGCCAGAAATAAATGTTTCTATGATCACCCTAGGAAAGAGGGAGGCCTAGCCATGAATGATAGAGCTTAGATTGCATGGACTCTCGGACTCAGATTTAAGCATCCTGGGAGTTGGCCTATGTTCAGCTGAAGTCCCTGTCCCTAATGTATGTCTTCTTTGGGAAAAAATAAACTTATCTTCACTACATGTTTAACAGTAACATTCTCCAAAGAGTGACATTTACAAGACAAACATCAGTATATATCTTTCTAAAAATGTTTGGTATACCCATGCAAGCCACAGAGCTACAGATATTTAGAAAAACAACTCACAGGCTTGCATTGGTCCTGTGTGCTTAACTTTGCATTCTCTTTGATTTGGTATTAAAACTAAATGAAAGCAAGGGATAAACAACTGAGGTTTTTTTTCACATGACTGTGAGCCAAATCTCATGATATCCTTGCTGACCTCATAGATAGATATGTTTCCACTGGACAGATTTGAAGAGACTTTTTGTATAGAACTCACACAACAACCTCAGAAACAGGAACACAAAGAACTCACACATAATACCAGGGCACAAGCACTAGAATAGTGTACATGGTGGACAGAGAAATTGGCATTCTGGGTACTCATCTGGCAGAAAGATGAACATTTTATGCCCACGATGCAAAGACCAGTGAGTGTCATTTCGTTGAAAGATGCAAAGGCATGGTGTCAGACACACCACCCTCTAAAAATGATTCTAAACACTGCAAAAGCAACCGGGGACGCATATCCCATGCATCTCTCCCCTCTGGGGTTGTGCAGACTCCTTACGCCACAACCTTAAGGTGCCTGTACTGTGCCAGAAGCACAAGAGGCAGCTCAGCAATGTAGGTTTGAGGATAGCAAGTCCTCCCAGCTAATGTAGGGAATCATTTAAACTCAGTTCACTTGGTGAACTCCTGCTCATGTTCGTCAGGCTCGCCATGAGGGATTTAACTTTATGGGCATAATAGTCCCTTAAATTGACAGAAGGGACCTCCTTCATTCCATCTCCAAAGTCACAGCTGCGCATGGCACTCTCAAGTTGTTTTTGGCGGCGATAAAAGTGGGAGAACTTATTGAAGATCAAGGTGATGGGCAGTACTACCACAAGGATACCTGCCAAGATGCAGGCAGAGGCAGTCAGTTTCCCTGCTGTGGTCCCTGGGACCACATCCCCATAACCCACTGTGGTCATACTGACTGTAGCCCACCACCAGCAGGCAGGGATGGTGGCCAGGCCCTCATTCTCCTCCTTTTCAATAGTGTAGGCCACCACAGAGAAGATGGAAATTCCCACAGAGAGGTACAGCAAGAGCAGCCCTACTTCTTTGTAGCTGTATTTCAAGGTGGCCCCCAGAGATCGGAGGCCAGTGGAGTGTCTAGCAAGCTTTAAGATGCGGAAGATCCGCATCAGCCTCAGGACCTGGGCCACTCTGCCCAAGTTGGCCAAAGTAGGTGTGCTTTCCACCACCAGGTTCACCACTAGAGTAATGTAAAATGGGACAATGGACATGAGATCAATAAGGTTTAGAGCATTCTTGAAGAACTTGAGGAAATCAGGGGCCACAGCAAACCTGGCCACAAGCTCAAATGTGAACCAGGCAATGCCAAAGTGCTCCACAATTTCAAATCTGGGGTCCTCACCAGGATTGCCCTGGCCATCAGGGATTTGGAAATCTGGTAGGCTATTGAGGCACATGGTGATGATGGACCCCAACACCACCAGGATGGACAGGATGCTAAAGACCCTACTCAGTACTGAGTAGCCAGGGTTGTCCAGCGCCAGCCACAGCTGCCTACGGAAGTTGCCCAGGGGCTGCCCATCAAACTTGGAGGCGTCGTTGTAGAAGGCCAGGATCTCATCAAAGGAGGATGTGGTGCTTTCCTGGTCACTCTGTTCATCCCACTTCTCCTGCTCAGGTTCCACTTTGCGACCGTGATAGCTGTAGCTGCAACAGGAGTCGATGAAGAACTCGTTGATGCCCCAGTATTCAATCTCCTGGCTGAAGGAGAAGACGCACAGCTCGGCCATGACGTGAAGTTTGCCGGTGTGGTAGAAATGCAAAACGTAAGGGAAGAGTTCGGGGTTGCGGTCGAAATAAAACTCACGCTGGACATCGTCGTAGTCATCGCAGAGCTCCAGAATGGCCTCGCGCGAGTGGCAGAGCAGTAGGCGGCCCAGGCGCGTCTCCGGGAAGCGCAGCAGCGTGTGCGAGCGCAGCCGTCTCTTGAAGCCGCCCACATTGATGCGGATCTCCCCATCCTCGACGTTGGCCTCCGACAGGTCCCACAGGCTCTGGCCGGTCATGCTGGAGATGCCCTGCAGCCCGCGCCGCGCGGGGGCGCTACACCTGAAAGCCCAGGGAACCGAACAGCGTGAGCGCCCCGCGCTCCCCGCCCCTGCGCCCTTCTTCTCCGCAGGGATACCTGCGGGCCCAGTACTCTCCAGGCGGGTCTCTGAGTGCTGAAGGGCACTGAGGTGGGGGAACGGCTCTGTGGGGGTTGGCCTTCTCCCAAGGAAAGGCAGGGTCTATGTACTAGTATGGCAGCGCCTCCACTCCCACCCCAGGGGTCTTGGCATCGATTTTTTCGTGCCAGGGTCGCGCCCCAGCGGCTCTGAGAGCCCAGGGGGTTGAGAGCTGACCTTGCCGGTAGGCAGGCGGAGAAGACGCCCCCGCCCGCGCGCCGCAGACAGGCGGGACCACAGCTGAGATACGCACCGGCAGGGCTGGGCCGAGAAGGGGGACACGCAGATTTGGGAGGGGGCGGGGAAATTTACCGCTCTAGTCTCCCGGGCCGGGAGAAAGGGGGACAGCTCGGCGTCCCCTGTGTTCAGCCCCCACGACTGGAGCCCCTTTTGCATGTTCCCTCTCTGGCTTCCCCCGCCCTCCTGGCGCGATGCCCCGGGGCCGCGTGCGCTGCGCCTTAACCCAGTGGAGCTGCCCGGGCTCGCCCTGCGCGTTCTGGAAGCACTTACCTGGGAGCATCAGCGCCCGCGGCCGAGGCCGGCGGGAAACTTGCACGACCTGCTGGCGAGCATCTCAGCGGTGTCCGCTGCCGGCTGGCTGTGCGTGTGCGCGCGGGTGCGAGTGTGTGTGCGCCTGTGTGTGCGCCCGGCGGGCCAGCGGGCGGGGTCCACCCAGCGTTTCCTCCAGTCTCCGGCCCTGCACTCTGTCGCCGCCCGCAGTTGCGGGAGGCTTACAGGTGGCTGCGTGGCCCCAACGCTCCTGGAGCCCCTGTCTCCGGATCCGCGCGCCCCTCACCTTCCGAGAGAGGCAGGAACCCACGCCGCAGGCGCCCGCGGAGCAGGAGCAGGAGCTGAGCTGGTGCGCTTTGGCGCGGTCCCTGCGCTGGGGCGCGGCGCGGTGGTGCTGAACGGACAGCTCCGCGCGCCTCAGCCGGGGGCGCGGCTGTCGCCCCAGACTCTGAAGATGCAGCAGCAGCAGCCGCAACAGCAACAGCAGCAGATTCTCTGCGCTCCTCGGGCGTGTCACTGCGACCTTCCTTGTGCCCCCAGCTCAGCGCGGGGCCGACACCTTTCCCTATCCCCGACACATCCTCCGATGACAGCTGCTGTTGCCATCACCCCCAGGTCGCAGACAGAGGGTTGCCTTCGGTGACCTTGCCCTGCTGGGTCTGTCAGGAGATCCATGACTTGTGCGTGTCCAAGGATTAGGGGAGAACCAGAAATCTCCGGGTTTTCCAGTTTAGGGACCTGAAGAAAAGTTTCCCCAAGCCTGAATCTGGGGTTGTTGGGAAACTGAAGCTGGATGGAAGAGAAAGAGGTCAGGGAAACCTAAGGTTGAGCTTGGTTTAGCTTGCCAGAGGGTTTGGGAGAGGGCACGGCAGGGGCGCAGGGCCCCTCAGTGTGGGAGGGAGTCATGGAGTTCTGTTTGGGAACTCTGAGTGGGCGCCGTGTGTGTACAGGCTAGTATGGTGTGTGGGCTGTAGGGGAGTACATGTGTGTGTGCATGTGTGTGATCTGAGAACAGTAGGAATTTCCAGACAGTGAAATAGTTCCTCTGATGGGTGGGGAGATGTGTGCAGTGTCAGTACAGGCAGAATCCAGACTTGTGTGTGATGTGTGCTGGGTGCAGTGTCTGAACCCAGCATAGATGTGCTCAGTATCTGTATCCCCATTCACAAGACTTGTGCCCCAGATCTGAGTTCCTGGTGTCCTAGGATTGTCTTTAAAGCTCTCCTGATGAGCTGAGGTGAGAAATGGACCTGAAGTCCCTGTGAGTCCCTTCCCTTTGGTCTCTCAGCCTTTTCCATGGTCCCCATTTGCAACAACTGGAGCACTGTGGAGTGTGCAAACTTAACAGGGAGATAGCGTCTACATGTCATGGTTAGAAATCCTGGAACAGCCCTTGTAGGGTGCCTGGATTCATAGGACAGCCACCACAGCCATAGTGAGAAGCACATCCTCTTAACACAGCTGTGGCAATGCCATCCCTCTCCACTCTGTGTAGCGGTTGAGTGCTTTGGGAGAATCCTTGATCTGGCGTCATGTGGGGACTCCTGGATGCAAGCCTGACCCATCACCTGTGCCAACCGCTTGCCTTTGAGTGTGTGTGTGTGTGTGTGTGTGTGTGTGT